GGTATGTGCTACGACTGAAAGACAAGAGGAATCTGAGAGTAGTCTGGCTGGACCATGGAAGTGGAGTGGAAGGATGGTCAGTCATGGCCTCACTCTGAGAGCACTGGGAGCCGCTGACTTGCTTTAAGAAGGGGACTGACTTGGTAAATTTTATTATGAAAAGACTGGGTATAAATAAAGAGAAGCCCCTGGAGATGGGCAACATGAAGCTACAACAGGTAAGTCTACTGTGACAGCCCAAGTGAAAGAGTTTATGCAGCAGACTTTAAGCAACAGAATGGCAGTGGAAATAAAGCGAACACACTTAAAATAGTGCTTTCCAAAGTTTAATAAGAACCTTTTAGATCTTGTGAAAATGCAGATCTTGCCGAAACCGGTTTGGCTCAATGGATAGAGTGTTGGCCTGCGGACTGAAAGGTCCTGGGTTCGATTCCGGTCAAGGGCATGTACCTTGGTTATGGGCACATCCTCAGTAGGAGGTGTGCAAGGGGCAACTGATCGATGATTCTCTCTCATCGATGTTTCTAACTCTCTATCCCTCTCTCTTCCTCTCTGTGAAAAATCAAAAAAATATATTTTTTTAAAAAGAAAAAAAAAATGCAGATCTTGATTCAGTGGGTCTGAAGTGGGACCTGAGATGCTATAAAGGCAGTCCTCAGGTTACATCGGAGGTCCATTTGAGGCACGATGTAACTCAATTATTGACAAAGTGGGAACCCACCTACATAAGCACCTACGTCACTCACATGGAGCACATGCACAGCAGTAATGAGGTGAAACAGTAAAAAAAAAAAAAAGTAAAAGAAAGATAACAATTCCTGACTGTTACTTGTGGCAAATAAATAATAAAAAACAAAGCATATATGTACATACATCAAAATGACAGAGCTTTTTTTTAATATATAAATAAATGGGAGATAGCAACATAACCATGCAACGAAGTACCTCGTATCCGATGTAACCAAAGGACTGCCAGTATTCCTAACAAACTCCCACACAATGCTGCTGCCGGTGGTCTGGAGTCCATGTCTTCAGTAGCAATGATTTCAGAGAGGAAGGAAATAGAATTCACAAGAGTTTGTGATTGGTTGGGTAGGGAAGCGGTCGGTAGGGAGGTAAAGTAAGATGTTAAAGATCATATCCAAGCTTCCATTTTGAGTGTCTGAGTGAAGGTGATGCTCTCCACAGATACAAGACGAAGAACAGGTTTGGGTGGGGTAGATAATAACAACAGATAACATGTATTGAGTACTTACTATGTGCCAGGCTCTGTACATAAGTTTTTCTCTAGAGCAAATTTATAATTTAAGAGGAGGAAGCTGAGGAACAAGGTCATACAGGTAGTAAACGGAGCAGTCAAGATTCAAACCCTCTGGCAGTGTGACTGCAGAATGCGTGCAATCTGGATATGTCAAGCTGGGCAATGGATTGATGTTTCTCTCTCACATCGATGTTTCTCTCTATGTGTCCTGAGATGAAGGAGAAATTAAGGCACTGGAGGGAATGAAGCCATCTGTGGATTACAGCTTGATTCCTGAGTTCTGTCTATTTTGTTCCATATTCCTTTGGGCATTTAATTATTATAGAGGAGAAATCTGAAAAAAAAGTTTTTAGCTTTTTTTGTAAATAATTTTTTTTTTCTGATTGGATACTGTTAGTTTTTTATCCCTGAACTTTAAGAATTTTTCCAGCTTATGTCTTGAAGTTGGTTTATGCTTATTAATGTTTCTAGATCCCAATGAACTCATTCCATCCCCCCCCCACCTCAGATATTTTTAGACCTATTATTATAGTGTTTTTTATTATAATTTTGATTATCATCTCTAATTGATTTGTCTCCTTTTGGGAGATGCCTATAGTTTAAATCTCCATGATGTTCTATCCATTTTCTTCTCAAAGAATTCCATCACTTAATTATCTTCCATATTGCTGATTTGCTCTTCCACATTGTGAAATGTTTTTTAGTGCTTTAATCCAATTAATTTTACTTTGATTATTGTGGTGTTAATTTCACAGTACTCTATTTATCTTGGCCTGTTTTTAAAAAATATATTTTATTATTTTTTTTACAGAAGGGAAAAGAGAGGAATAGAGAGTTAGAAACATCGATGAGAAACATCCATCAGCTGCCTGCTGCACACCCCCCCAACTGGGGATATGCCTGCAACCAAGGCACATGCCCTTGACTGGAATCAAACCTGGGACCCTTCAGTCTGCAGGCCAACACTCTATCCACTGAGGCAAACCGGTTTTGGCTGGCCTGTTTTTTTTTTATTGATTATGGTCTCACATAATTGTTTTTTTTTTTTTTTTAAATATATTTTATTGTTGTTTTTTTTTACAGAGAGGAAGAAAGAGCGATAGTTAGAAATATCAATGAGAGAGAATCATCAATCAGCTGCCTCCTATACATCTCCTACCGGGGATGTGCCTGCAACCCAGGTACATGCCCTTAACCGGAATTGAACCTGGGACCTTTCAGTCCACAGGTCGACGCTCTATGTCCTCTTATAGCCAAGAATAAGTGTTTTCTAAAACTGGATTCTGCTTCATGGACTAAATATATTTCAAAGGAGTAATTTTTGGCTGTAGCACTTCTTTTTTCATGTGCTATATATGTTTTTCCCACAGGGCTCTTTAATAGATTAACTAGTTGAGATTAACTAGTTTATCTTTTAGGTTGTCTGCAAGTCCAGAGTTGACTGCTTTCTTTTATTTATTTATTATTAAATTATTGTCTGTGTACATATTTTAACATTGCCCTCCCCCCGTACATACTCTCCCTCCCCAGAGTTTTGTGTCCATTGGTTGTACTTATATGCATGTATACAAGTCCTTCGGTTGATCTCTTATCTCCCCCAGATCAGAGTTGACTGCTTTCAAGATCACAGCGCTGGACAATCAGGATGCAGGGTTTTCCTCTCTTACTCCCTTCTAAAGATGCCTGTGAAATGGTTCAGAAGCAGCGGCTGAATCTTTTATGTCTTGTCTTAGCTATTCTTAGCATTCACCTGCTTCAGGATTCCAGTTTTTCTTTTTCAACCTTTGTCGTTTATGACTATTTTTAGCCTCAGTATGTATGTGTCATATTCTCTAGATCTTGATGCTTTTGTTTAACCTTTCCATTTTGGTGTTACCTATCAGTATCTCCTCTAAGTTTCTATCCCTCTATATCAATCTAGGTCTCAGTCTCTGAATTTTTCTTTTTTTTGTTAATCCTCACCTGAGGATATTTTTCCAGTGATTTGTAGGGAAAGTGGAAGATAAAGGGAAAGACAGAGAGAAACATCCACATGAGAGAAACACATCGATTGGTTGCCTTCTGCGTGCCCCCTGACGAAAGGCCTGGGCAGGGGGAAGCCAAGGTACATGCCCTTGATCAGAATCAAACGCAAGATGCTTGGTCTATAGGCATCAGTCTCTGAATCTTAATGTATTTCTCTAATGTCTGAACTTACTTCAGCAGGTCTTCAAATATGGTGGATTGGTTACAGGGATTGATGAGATGCTGTAGGAACATAATTCTTGTTTATATCTACTTAGCCTGTGGTAAAATTGATTTCCTTATACCTTCTTCCACTTGAGGTCTCAGAATCTTTCCACATTGTTAAGTGAAGACTTATTATACTGTACTCTCTAATCCTTTATAGTTCACAGTACTTACCACAACTTGAGCATTATCCTATAAAATAAAGATATAATATGCAAATGGTCATTACGCTGTTAAGTGTTAACAACCGGATTGTGCGTCAGTAGGAGGGTGGGGCATCGAGCTACAAGCAGGTGTTAGAGAGCTACCCAAGGAAGCAGGGCAGCAAGCTCTGGAGGAGGGGAGAAGGGGAAAGCTACAGGAGGGCGGGGCAGTGGGCAGAGAGCTTCTGGTGCACGGATTCCTGCACAAGGCTACTAGTCTATACTAATAAAAGGGCAATATGCTAATTAGACAGGCTGTCCTTCCAGACGAAGCCACAGTGGCACCAGAGGGCAGAGGCAAAGGCAGTTATGGAGCAATTGGGCAGGCGAGCAATTAGGAGCTAAGGGTAACCGGGTGGGAGAGGGATATCCCAGATTGGGGAGGGTGCAGGCCCCGCTGAGGGACCTCCCCCAACCCCAGCACGAATTTCATGCACCAGGCCTCTCGTATATATGTCGATTTGTCCATCTCCTCCCCGTTTCCGTCACGGAAAATGTCCAGGAACTTGGTAGGTGCTCAACAAACACTTGTTGAAGGGAACCTCTGGTCTGATGAGAGGATCCTCCCACCTTTTGTGTTTCAGACTTTCTCTGTATGCAAATACCTTTCTCGGTCTCCGTCATGCCTTTCGGTTTCTGCCCTGGTCTCAATGTTTCTAGGTTGGTGTGGGGACCACGGGACTCTTATAGGCCTGGTGCAGGCCCGGGCCCGAAGCCCGTGTGCGGCGCGTCGTCGTCCCTCAGACACAGTCCCGGGCCGCTCTATGGCTGAGTCAGGGCCACACATACTTCAGGGCTTTCCTGGTCCCTAACCGTCTATCAGGATCAGTCCTACAGGCTCTTTCCTGACGCCTCGGAGACCTCCTACGTCTCCAGAGCCAGCTCCGGGCTAACCCACGTGACCGCGCAGGGCGGTGCCGCCGCCGTGTTCCGCCCAGAGTTCGCTACTTCCGCCGGACCGCATAGCCCCGCCCCCGGACCTCGGAGGACCAACCCGCGCGCACGCTGCGTGGCCCCGCCCCAGCGCTCTCCTCAGCGTACGTCCCGCCCTCCGCCCGCCCGCCCGCCCGCCGGCCCGCCCGTCAGTCAGTCAGTCAGTCAGACTGGGCAGTCGGTCCTGGTTGCTTCGGGCTCTTAAGCTTTCCCGAGCGACGCCCTCCTTGCTCCTTCCCGCTTAACGGCGGCGGCTGCACCGGCGGCGGCAGCGCGGACCCTACGGGAGGTGCGGCGTGGGCCGGGAGACGGCCACAGAGCGTCCAGCCCAGCGCGGCGGAGGCGGCGGCGGCGGCGGCGGCCCGGCAACCAACATGGCGGCGGCGGCGGCGGCGGGCGCGGGCCCGGAGATGGTCCGCGGGCAGGTGTTCGACGTGGGGCCGCGCTACACCAACCTCTCGTACATTGGCGAGGGCGCCTACGGCATGGTGTGGTGAGTGTCCGCGTCCGCCCGCAGGCCTGGCTGCGCCCGCCCACCCACCCACCCACCTCTCGGGGCCGCAGCGGACGCTGCCGCGGCCTCGTCCGCGCCTCGGGCCTCCCGCGCCACCGCGCCCCCGGCCCCGGGCTTCTCCGCGGTCCGCGCCCCGGGGGCATGCCCGCCCCGGGCCCATCGAGGTGTGGGTGTTGATCGCAGCGGGCCCTGGCCGTGTAGAGGGGCGCGGAGGGCGGAGGCCAGGACCCGGGCCAGCCAGGACCCCCGGGAAGGGCACGGAACCCCACCCTCCACCCCCCACCCCGCTTTGCTATCAGGGTGGTCTTTTTGACGTCCGATTATAAGGCCAGGAATCCCTCCAGATGCTCGGCGGCGGCGGTGGTGGTGGTGGCGGCGGGGGCCTGGTCCTGAAAGCGGTTCGCCTCGGTGTGCGTGCAGAAATGATCGTCTCCCTGCCTTACCTCGCCTGTGTTTTCCGCGAACGGCTTTCATTAAATGTCCTCAGTGGCGCCCGTAGTGCCTCTCCTGCGCAGGCTTTCTAAAAAGCATTAAGAGGCACCGTTGTTATCGTTGGAGATGGAATATTTCCACCTTGAAGCTTTTAAATGGGTTTTAATATCGCACTGTGGACGTTTCAGGAAGGATAAGTCGGCATCGCTCTCTTCATTGATTAAAAAGTCCTTTGGAGTTGGGCCTAATTCGACTTTTTTTTTTTTTCCCCCTTTTCTTAACCCCGAGTGAACTCTCTTAGCAGCAAAAAGGCATCCAGACGTATTAGCACCATTACTATGGACTTTGTTAATGTTTTAATGGCCAATATATATATATGCAGCCTTAATGGAGTTCTTGCAGTCGCATGCAGGCTCCCTCGTCTGAATCCTCAGAAAGGTTTGGCGACAGTGTTGTTTTTATTAGCTCTCACTGCCTGTGGAAGTGTCTGCTCCTTTACATTTAAATCTTGTGGCTGTGTCTTGTGTTGAAGGAAGGAACAAACTAATATTTGTTGAATACTTCGTGGCAAGTACGGTGCTAGGTACCTTTTTGTCTGATTTTATTTGTACATCCACCTTGAGGGAGGGAAAGGTGGTGATACCATCTCTTTCAGGTGAGAAAGTATTTCAATGTGAAGCCAGTTCCTAAGGTCACAGCTAAGGCGTCAGACATGAGGTTGTAGACTAAGATCCTGTTTCAAACGCAGTTCTTTCCATTACACCCTGCTATCCTCCTTAAATAGTGTTACTAATGATTTTACGATTTTAGCATATTTTACTGTTGTAAGCAAATGCATTTCAGGAACATTATGAGTGATCGTAATTTTAGAAATGTTCTAGAGGGCATATTTTACCAAGTATGTGAGCTAGTCAGAAAGACAAGTTTAAATTCTATTTTTAAAAAACCCCACTTTAATTCAATATTGAGGATTCTCATTCTCTTCTGGAGCAAAATGGCTCACAGTATACAACTGTGGAAATTAACGTGAATTCAGAGGCTTAGGAGCCAAAAGAGAAATTAAATTAGGTCAGGCCTAAAGAAATAAGGCACTGGACAGTAATGAAGAGAAAGTACTGCCTGCAGCACAATTTCTCTGTCATATATCTGATGGCTGCTGCACTTGCTGGTAAGTTTGCCCATAAGTGTTTCATTATGAGAGGCTCAGAATTGCCCACCAAGTCCTTCGTCCTTTTTAAAAGAAATTAGCATCTAAAATAGATACTGAAATAATCTTTAGGTTTAGGACAGTTTTTGTTTTTTGTTTGTTTGATTTTTATCCTTACCTGAGGATATTTTTTTCCATTGATTTTTAGAGAGAGTGGAAGGGAGTGGGAGAGAGAAACATTGAGAAATATCGATGAGAGAGAGACAACATTGATTGCCTCCCAAACACGCTCTACTGGGCCAGGGATCAAACCTGCAACCAATGTATTAATATGTGCACTTGACTGGGAATTGAACCGGTGACCCACGGGTGCTGACACACTAACACTGACCTGCATGCGCCAGGGCTACGTTGAGGATATTTTAATTGAAAGTTTTTTTCTTTTTTCTGTTCGATAGGATTTTTACTAGTCTGGAAATAATTTAGACCTGATAACTATTTCTATCACTGCTGTAAATTTTAAATATATATATATTTTATTGAGTTTTTACAGAGGAAGAGAGAGGGATAGAAAGTTAGAAACATTGATGAGAGAGAAACATCCATCATCTGCCTCCTGCCCACCCCCTACTGGGGATGTGCCCGCAAGCAAGGTACATGCCCTTGACCGGAATCGAACCCAGGACCCTTCAGTCCCCAAGCCGACGCTCTATCCATTGAGCCAAACCGGTCTCGGCGGAATTTACCTTTTCTGTGCAGAGCTTTTTCCTAATCATTATGTGGAGGATATAAAGATGAAGAGTGTAGCTTCAATTGGGCCTTGAAGAATGGGTGTGATTTTGATAGATGGTAGGCACAAGTGACAGTGTAAACAGTGGAATCTGATCCTGGATTAGTTGGCAAATGGTAGAGGACTAAAGGCAAAACTGAGTTTGTATATTTGTGCGATTGAGAAGCATCAGTGTTTTTGTAAAGAAGCAGTCACATGGTCAATTTAAAATTTTAGGGGAAGGTAGGTCAACACAGGTGGAAATGAGAAGGAAAAAAAAAAGACTGAGGTGGGGGAATCCGTTAGGCTATTATAACTCTAGTGGCAGTGGAAGGTAGCAGATGGGAGTGAGAGACTTTAATAAGAGCTTATAAAGATAGAATTAGTAATTCTTGTCAGAAGAGTGGTACAAAGACTTAATCATGGCAAGTTTGGGAAGAAGCAAATGATGAGATCTTAAAGGGTAAGAGGCTGAGAGAGGTGGGATTTGGATTTGAGAGTGATTTCTGAGACAAGGCTAGGTATGGGCATAGTTGTAATTCCACTGCTTCTAGTGTGGGATCCTTGGAGGATGGTGGTGCCATTATTCAAGAAGGAGTATCAGAGGTAGAGCAGGTTTGTGAGGCAGAAATAGTGAGCTCTGGTTCAGATTAAGTTTGTGGTGCCTGTTGGCCATTAGGCTATGTCCAGAGGCATCTTGAAATTTATAACAGGGAAGGTAGAACCTGGAGATGAAAACTTGTGTAAGTTTTAGTATTTCGTGGATGGCCACAGATTCTTATTTGAGGTCATTGGGTAGGTGAAATTGCAAACAGATGTTGGGTATGTTCATCTGTTTAGTAAGCAATCCATAGCATTCAATAGGTTTTCAAAGGGGTCCATTATTCCAGAAAGATTAAGAGCCACTGAGGTAGAATAGAAAGAGTAAAGAGATAATTCTGGCAAACAATTTCTTTAAGAGGTAGGCAAAGGAAGAGGAACCTGAGGACTGGTGAGATGCATAAGAGTCATGAAAAAAGAAAAGGTATGAGAGGAGAAATTGAAGCTGTATATTTGATCTAATTAAGATAAGTCTAGCTGAAACCGGTTTGGCTCAGTGGGTAAAGCGTTGGCCTGCCAACTGAAAGGTCCCGAGTTCGATTCCGGTCAAGGGCATGTACCTTGGTTACGGGCACATCCCCAGTGGGGGGTGTGCAAGAGGCAGCTGTTGGATGTTTCTCTCTTATTGATGTTTCTAACTCTCTATCCCTCTCTCTTCCTCTCTGTAAAAAAATCAATAAAATATATTTTTTTAAAAAAAAAGATAAGTCTACTTTGAGCAAGTTAAATTTGAAACACTTTCTGAATATGACTGAAAGATTATAGGGTTATCTCCATAGAGATACTTATGAAGCCTTGGGAGTGGACAAAATGAGGAAAAATGTAAAAACTTAGTCAAAGGAATGTCTGACTTTAGGTGTCAATAGAGGGCAAGATACAGAAGAGACCAGAGAAAGTGTGGTCAGAGACCAGAGAACCCTGAGTGCACATTGCAGAGGAGCCAAGGGAGATAGTGGTCATTAAAGGATTAGCATTGGGTCAGAATAGTATAGGATTTGTTGACTTTCAATTTTCCCACCCAAAACAGATGGCTCCAACCAAAATGTCATTGTGATCACATTCTCAATAGTACAATATTCTGATCTATTAAGCTTTTTTGTGATTATGATAAACTAGTACACCTACCATGTAGTCACTACTTTTTAAAAAAATATATTTTATTGATTTTTTAAAATAATATTTTTTAATATATATTTTATTGATTTTTTACAGAGAGGAAAGGAGAGGGATAGAGAGCTAGAAATGTCGATGAAAGAGAAACATCGATCAGCTGCCTCCTGCACACCCCCTACTGGGGATGTGTCCTTGGCCGGAATCGAACCCAGGACTTTTCAGTCCGCAGACCGACGCTCTATCCACTGAGCCAAACTGGTTTCGGCACTACTTTTTTTTTTTTTTTTTTTTTTAACATATATTAATTAATCTTCATATCCACACTGCAAAGACAATTACTTTGTGAGTAAATGAAACAAAGGTTAGTTAACGTGCCCAAGGGGGCACACAATTAGGAAGAAATAAAGCATCCCAGTCTGTCTGGTTCCTAAGTGACACTCAACCAAAGATCAGAGTTGAAAAATAACATTCTTTCAGTAATAGAAAATAGCTGTTGTCTGCTTTTGCTGGTATCACTTTTAGTCTTTCTAAAAACCTTGAATGTAAGACCATTCATTCAGAAAATACTTTTTGAGCACCTTTTTATGTGCCAGGATTCACATGATTCCTGTCCTTTAGTAGCTCTTAGTCCAAATAGTGGGGCAATAATGTAGAGAATATACAGTGCTATACAGGAATGTGTGAGGTGCTGTGAGAAAAAAAGGCCTTTGTGGCATGGGGCTTTCTTTGTATGGCTTCACATGCTTCTGAGCTGAATGTTAATGTATGACTAGGAATTTTGCTAGGTGGAGGAAAACATATGTGCAAAGGCACAGAAATTTGAAAACAGCACATCAGGTCAAGAAAACCACAAGTTGGGAGGGCAGGAGTGTAGAGTGCCTTAAGCAGAAAGCTGGAGTTCAGACAGCTGGGATGGGC